GAATCATATGTGTGCGTACTTCCTATATTTTCCAAAAAACCCAAGTTTTAATTTTGATTGAACGAATATGGCTGTATGTAGATTTAGCAAATTGAAAAAATTTAGTTAAGAGTAAATTGAGGGACTAAGAACTATAGATTGTTGTAAGATAGTCTTCTCTGGCATTATACTCTTGATCTCTTTCAAAATAAAATGATTTAACATCGGGAAGATAATACACTAATGGATCTATTTTTTCTTAAATTTAAATAGATTTTAACTAACAGTCTGAAATATTAAAAATTACTACTTACTTTGACTTTTAAAAGAATGGATTTTTACAGAAATATTATAATTTACTGATTCTTATAGTTTTTCTTTCTTTGCCTTTTTAAATTGCTGTGTATTTTACAACATATATTGTATACATTTAAGTAGAGTTGAGATTTAGATTTTTTTAAGCAACGTATGAGAACAAGAAGTAATCATGTAACTATTAATATAATATATTTAAAAAAAAAAAACAAATTTGCAACAAAAACAAAGCTGTCTTGTGTATATAGGGAATTATTATAGGGAATTATACACCCATAATTCATTTGATTTTTAGCATAATTATTAATATAAAACGTAGTATATCAAGTTAGAAGTAAGTCTATTTTTAAAGTTTGATTTAATTAGTTTATTATATTATGCAGATTTTTTTTTGGTGCAGGAGTTAACATAATTGCTATTATAATATATTAACTCGTAACTGGATAAAGAGTTATTATCACTAAAAACAATATTAATTTATTATTTATTTATTATCCATTAACTAGTAAAAAATGACAAAAAAAAACCATATTAAAATAAATACGGTATCAGCAGGAGGTTAACCTCGCTACATTTATAAGACTGGTAATATTATTATCATTACTGTTGAACTCTGATTACCGTAATATCCATGCCTCCCTCTTTTGATGTGCTATTATATATTTGAATAGCAATTAAATATAACTAAATTCCATTATTATTTATTCCTTATATAAATATAATATATGTATCCTAAGGCATTATGTGAAATAGTCTCTAATATTATCTGTTAATAATAATGACTAATAATAAATTATAGTGAATACAGATAGTGATAGTTCAATATTGAAGTGATAGGAATATATGATCAGGTTAGGTTACGTTGGAGTGGTAGTCTTGTGCACTAAAGGGTGTTGTTTGTATACCAGACACAAACAGGATATCCAAGATATCCCGAAAAAGAAAAGAATTTGTTTGAAAAGGGCCATAAAAATGCGCCAAACATTTTTGATATTCTACTGGTCAATGATAGGCATTGATACTTAAGCTATAGCTAATTCAGTTTTCTATTGCTGTGTATAGCTACAACCAGAACAAAAATTTTTACTAGTAAAACCAAGACAGATAGTTTCTTTATCTAAAATGCAATAACAAGTTAACATTGATACAGTAGAAATGAGGATGTTCTAGTATATATAGAATTAATGCGAAACTTATTTGTATAACATAAAAAAGTTAAATAATTTTTGGAAATGCAAGAAAAATTTAAATTGAATAAAAAAATATTTTTAAAAAATATTTCTAAAATAAATTTCTAAAAAACATATTATATTAGTATTAAAATAGTTGTACTAAATAGCAGCGGTATAGCGAGAAGTGGAAAAGAGGGTCTATCATGCTCTAGGTGCTACTCGCAAAAAGCTGTGAAATGGTCCTGAAGATAAGTAACATTCTATATAGTATTTTATAGTGATATATATTTTTTGGGTGCGGTAAAAACCTATAGTTGTAATATCTCTTATCATGCCTGTCCTGCAGAAGCTTGGACAATTACCAACAGTGATGAGAAGGCGTTAGGAGCATTCGGGAGAAAAATTCTTCGGAAGATCTATGGTCCCTTACACTTTGGCTACGAGTATCGAATTAGATGGAACGATGAGCATAAAAATTCAGCGGCTACGCTGGCTTGGTCATGTCGTGCGAAGGGAAAAGAGTGCTCCGGCTAGAAAGGTATTTGATTCGGTACCCGCAGGTGGAAAACGCGGTAGAGAACGTCCGCATCTTCGGTGGAAGGACCAGGAGACCAACGATTTGGGGGCGCTCGGTACAACCAACTGGCATCAGAAAGTAACTAATCGGGTTGACTGCGGAAGCTACGCGATGCGGACGACCCACGTCTGTAATGGCCAACTAAAGATAAAGGAAAGGAAAAACCTACAACTGCCCGGAGGGCAGTTATGTACACAACGTTATTGTTAAAGATTTAAATAAATTTTTTAATTAATTAATTTTATAATTAATGTACACATATTTCCAAGAAAAAAAAGTTTTTATATATATTAATATATATCAAAGAAAGATAAATTATTTGTAGTAACGAATACAATTTTTTTGAATATAAACAGTTAAGCTTTTGCTATCATAGCAACATTTAGTTTACAGAAATTTATGATATATCGATGGGATTTTACTGGGTATTACATTTAATAACGTGTTTTGATTTCCCGACATTTAATTTTTCTTTTCCATGAAATAAAGATTAAAAAAACTGAATTTAAACAAAAGTCACTTCATATACATATATTATTAGATTATCAATAGTTTGTCCATATTATACGCATCCAATTTTGGATTTTCTTTGTCATTTTTAAATGAATCGATGAAATTGGCAATTTACCAAATTGTTATCATTTGAAAAAATCCAGTTCTAATGTCTCAAGTTTATATGCATTCATATCATGGGAATATTTCTCATTTTTAATTTTTCTTTTTTTTTTTTTTGATAGGAATTGACTATTTTATCGGCTTTGTTACTCATATGTTACGTTGAGCACCTGTTCAAGTTGTGAAATTTATATATATCTATTGTATTTTATTTTGTTCCATTTTATTTTTATACTATCATATGAGTCAACATATGACCAAAAATATAACTAATTATTTATGTATTACAGCGTGCCTCTTATCAAATTAGTCATTTGACTGACATCTATTAACTGATCAGAAGACTTCGTGTCGTACATGTAAAATAAAATAGAAATCTTGTGATCTAGTATGATGTAAGTAGTATTAGAGAAAAGTTGAGTGAATACTGGGAAATATTTTTAAATGAAATTAGATAATGAAATTTAAAATATATTACGTACTAGTTATAACAGAAATAAGTGACTAAGACAAGTTAAATAGCTCGAGAATCCACTTAACAGAGTCCAGTAATTTTTAACGTGATTTCCTGCCTTCAAGGCTTAACACCATGGTGTTTTAAAACACATGTATTAATACAAAGCGTCAATCAACGTCCCATTGGAATAGCCTGCTCTATTCTGTCGGTACCAATGAAGATATTCATGTATGGTAAGTCATATCTTCCACCTTGGTGAAATGCAAGGCCTATCTTAAACCTCTGCTACAATCTGGGTTGTAGCACCCGGTGGTGACCTAACCGCGGGAGTATTCTTTTCCCCTCTCCGCAGGGAAAATCCACATAACAGCAAGAGTTTATACTAACAGACAGATTAATAATTTTGCAGACTACCAGATAGACTAAATGAAGAGGGACAGACTTATGTATTATTGTGTCTATAAAAAAGAAAACATTCGGAGATTAAACCTCTGTGACTACAAGAAATTGAAAGTTAATTATTAGACTTTAACCTATTTAAACCTAATAAATAACATCTTATAAATAAGTAGAGAAAATTTCATCATTGAGACAGAGAGTAGTAGGAGGAATTTTGTTCAAGTAATTAGTGGAGAAAGTTTAGATAAAGTCGCTTAGTATCTAGAAGTATTAAGAAGTTGAGAGTAGTTGAAATATATATAGGAACTATTTCAAAATAAACAGGATTTTTTAAAATAAGTATATGTTATTACGCCAACTATTTGTAGTTACATGTGTCCTTAAAGTCAACCACACTCTGGACTCGCCTGAGTTAGTATAATGTGACTTTAATCTTTTTGAAAAATGAATTAATTCAAGAAAAAAAATGCCTTGTGGACATCGAAGGACTATTATTCAGATGCAATAACCTCGATACTAATCGATGGTATTCTGACGTCTTGCTTATTTTGGACTCTATATATTAAAAGACACTCGAAGTCTCATGAATAGTTTTTGATCGAAATTTATTACTGTAATAAGAATATAAATTTCTGTTGATAAATTTTTAAGAATTGTTTAAAAAACTCAATTAGTAATAGTTTATTACAACTAATTTAATAAACTTAATAAGATGATAATGGGGCAGAATTTGGGACATATATGATTTTAAACAGCTAGGTCATAATACTAAAATATAACATCCATAGGCTTAAGGTTTACTGACAGAGTTATTTCAGTTAAGTGCGGATGAATTGTCTACTGCCATTTTTTCATTTATTTTATGGAATATATTTCCAATATCTGGAAGTCTACTTTACAGAAGTTACAAACATTGCAATAGTTTACTTGATATTCTATATAAAATTCAATTTAAATTATTTCTCCTGATAAGACATTTTCATTTGACTTGTGACTGCTGTCTTTATTAATTAAATCTTATCAATTCATCATCTATTCGGTTATTAGTAAAGCTTTGTGATCGATGAAGTAAAATCCTATTCTATAGTTCAAAGGAAACTATTACATCAGTTAACATGACCTAAATTTATTTTACAATATTGGTTTATTCTTTCCATAAAAATAAATTAGCTACAATACTATACATGTCCTTCATATAATAGAAAACTAAAAACTATTACATCAGTTAACATGACCGAAATTTATTTTACAATATTGGTATATTCTTTCCATAAAAATAAATTAGCTACAATAATATACATGTCCTTCATATAATAGCTTATCAAATTATATGTCTCATCATTTTAGTCCTTTTCAGAATTCAGGATAATTAACAATCTTAAATCTTAAATTACTTTATCATTAGTTTAGAAAAACCTAAGTATATTGAAGGAGTCCTATTAAATTTAAGCCAAAATTTTCATCCGTAAACTAAAATAAAATCAAATATATACACATTATGCAAATAAATTTTATTTCAACATAATTCAATATCTGTATTAATAACTGATATACATACTCTTATATATACATAATATACACGATTGTTCTTTGTTAACATCATTTTAAATAAAACAAAATGATGCGCTTAAATTATTGACTTGGAGTGCAAGGCATCTCATCCAATTGCATTGTAAGACCTACCAAGGTTTCAAGGAACTCGGTCATAGAAAGATTACCAATTTGACTATTTAAAAGAGGTAAAACATATTCAGAGTACATATCAGATATATATGTTTGATATTGTTGGATCCATAAGAGACCATATTCGCGTTGGAAGCGATTTACAAAATTATTGACATCATTGTTCCAATAATTGTTCCAATCGCTATTATGAATATCACCAAGTAAAACTTGCAAATTAAAGTTAGTCATCTCCAAGCCATTAGAGCTGGTTGTTTCAAGTTTATAACTACCAACTGTACGAAGATCAACATATTCCCAGTTAACAACTCCTTCACCATCATAATTTATTGGAAAACCAGCAATAGAAACTGAAGCATTTAAAGTGTATTCAGCCAAAACTTGTATATTGCGATACAATACATCGAAATTAAGTAACTCGGTTGTAGTATTGTATGATAAATCCAAGACTATCCAATCATTTAAGCCTTCAATATACACATTGGAGAAGGAACCCGTTAAGCTGCGGTAAATTAATGTATATCAATTTCTATAATTAAAAACAAATTCCGATATATATACCTGTAGTCATCTCCAGTTAAATTATAGGCATAATGATCGACTGTGTACGGTGCTAGTGGTGGTAAATTCCATGGAGCAAATCCACATGGCATTATTCTTTTGAAGGCTGCTATGTATTTCTTGGCAATATCAGCTACATTCAAGTAATCGAAAGGATTGAGACTAGGAGATGAATTAGTTGCTAAAGTATACAATATTATTTATTTTATGTTAGTAATTGCATAATATTATTTAATTTACATGCGCCATTTGCTGATATGGCCAAAAGGGCAAAAATAGCTAGTAAAACCGTAGCCTTCATTTTTCCGTCCAATTTGTTTTGTAGACTTTTGAACACTAAAAACTTGATATCATGCCGGCTGTCTTTTATATTTTTTTGTATTTACAATTAATTACCATTTTTGTTTGTTATTGTTTGGAAAAGTCAAAAATATCTAATCTAATTAATGAATATATTCATTTATCATCAAGAAATGTTATTATCAAAAGCAGGATCAATTATAACCAAATCAGTTGTTTTTTATTATTACCTTTTTTATTAAAAATAGTAAAAAAGTTGTCAGTATACATATATAAACATTTAATATTATTTTAATATAATACTATTTAATATCATATTTAAATATCGCATGGAAGATTTCTTTAATAAAACGTATTTAACTTAAATGGAAAATTTTGAGGGAAACATTTTTAAAACCCCTCCCATTGACTTGATTTTCATATCCACAAATAAAATCTACAAACTGAACTAAGAAGTACTGATTCCTAAAGATATATACAGATGCAAATGGCATTGGATCCGACATACATATACTTCATTGATTTATTGAAAACATTGCATGATAGTCGCTTGGACAAAATGCTCAAGGGTGTTGTCATTGTCTAGCTCGTAGACTTCAATTTATTTTGAAGAAGATTTATAGGTAAATAATCAAACAAAGTTATCTTCTATATTTTTAAATAAAAAAGTGATAAAAAAACGATCACTCTATCTAGATCAAGTGCAATATCTCACTACATCGACATTTTAGAAAGCGCACCCAGTCCATCACGGCCTATTGCATTTTGTCAGCCTGTAGTTTAAGGGATACCCACAAGGACTATACCCACATGGACTATATTACTGAAGTAATATACTTGCGAAATTATTTCAAAATAAGAAGATGTGGAGTTCTTATATTCCAGTAATATACTTGTGAAATTATATCAAAATAAGAAGATGTGGAGTTCTTATACTCCAGTTCCATGAAGAGAAAGAAAAGTAAAAAAAGAGAGGGAGAGAAGTATTTCAGAAAATAATAATAGTTTTTCTTTTAATTCTATTTTGGTAGCAATTTTAGTTATGAATTTCTTTAAAATAATAAAAATTACATTATTAAATTTTAAAGATTGATTTCTTAAGTGTCAGTAAAGATTTACCAGTAAAGAAACATGCGATAATTATAGAAGTCAGTTTGGGTAGTGAAATATGTATCTGTGAACTTTGTGTGTGAAAATATGCATAACCGTGAGTTTGTAGGCTTACATTATTTCTTAGAGAATAATGGAGTAATAATAATAAATCATTAGTTTCATAAAGCCTCTCGATCATTTTTATATAAGAGACTGACAAATAAATCGTAGATAAAGTAGTTGCAGCCAGTACAACTTTAATTAGAACGTTTGCCTTAATTTAAAAATATTTCAAAGAAAATATATCCGAGAGTAACATAGATTTCAATCAAGTTTTCTCAATGGAACGTCTTAAAGTATTGCATTCCTCAGAACAAATTTCCGATAGCATGTCGGAATATCGCTGACAATATCTCGAGAATAACTTGATGTATATTCATTTAGAGTTTCTTGGCGTATACTAGAGTCTAGAGTTTACGTACTTTTGCTTAGACATTCTCATTAGCGTAAATCTAAAAAAAAACGTACAGTGTGAACAAGTCGCGAGATGTTGATGTTTCATTAATATCGCTGAAACAGTCACGATTAGGAAATGGGTAACCTTATATTATTAGTTATGTTGACATCTGCACAATATAATAAATAAAAAAAACTAAACTTCTGTATTCATTTAAATATTTATTAAATATCTAAAATTTAACATTTAACTTCATCTAATTCCATAGTAAGGCCAACTAATATTTCGAGAAGTTCGGTCATACTAAGTTCAGCAAGAGTAGGATTTAAACTTGGAAGCACATATTTTGCAAAGACAGTTGGAATATAAGATTGTGCTTCTTCAGTCCATAAAAGTACGTATTTACGTAACCAACGGTTGACAAAGTTATTCACTTCATTATTCCAATAATTATTCCAGTTATTGGCTTGCACATTCCCCAACAATACTTGCATTTTAAAATCGGTAATTTCTAAGCCAACTTGATTATCATTAATAGATTGGAAAGTGAAACCAGCGATTGCACGTGAATCAGTGAACTTCCAGTTGAGGACACCTTCTCCGACATACGTAAAAGGCATACTAGCAATAGTTACTGTAGCATTGATTTTATATTCTGCAAGAATTTGAAGATTACTATGGAAAACATCGTACTTATATTGTTGAGTGGTTGTGTTATAAGAAGTTTGAAGTGTTTGCCAATCATTTATGCCTTCAACATAGAGATTTGAGAGAGATCCAACAAGACTAAATGAAAAAAATCAATAATGTATATTAAATACATACAATTTGAATATATATTATACCTGTAATCATCACCACTGTAATCAAAATCCCAATGATCAACGGTATATGGAGCTAAAATCGGTACATTCCAGGGGGCATATCCGCAGGGCATTATACGCTTAAAGGCTTGCATGTACTTATGAAATATATCACCAAAATTTAAATAATCTAATGGATTAAGATCTGGCGAGGAATTAAGCGCTAATAAAATTTAAGAATTTATTTTTTTATTTATTAATGATAACAAAATTTTTTTTTATTACATGAGCCATTTGCTGACACAGCAAAAATGCCAATAATTGTGAATATAATTACTGCCTTCATTTTTTACTTCAATAACTTTGGTTTTCTTTTGAAGACTAAACATAATTAGTTCTAGCAGGTCTTTTTTATACTTTTTTGAGTTTTTTAGAAATAAATATATTTTATCAAATTTATATATATAATTACCTTTTTGTATGTCCTATGTTGGTAAGCAAGCAAATTGGCTAACTTGTCATTTAATATTCACGTAAGAATCTTATCTAGTGCAGGATAAATTAATATTAAATTTTAAGTGTTTTTAAAGTTTTGGGTCTTTAATTTGTTAAAAAAATGTTATATGTCTTAATTTTGAAGTATACATATCAACAATATTACTATTTTGTGCATTCCCTTCTGCCGTCTAAAAAATATAATAAATATTAAATATATCACAATACATTTTTTTTCAAAGTTAATCATTTTAAATAATTATGTTATTTTTATTAATATTTTGTTAAAATTTATTTAAATTTTTTGACCTCGATTTGGTTATAAATAAATGTTTATTGATCTAATACATTAAGATCTATTACACTCCTAACTCTATATTAAGTTATCTTTAAAATTATGCTGTATATCTAGAGGCCAGAAAATATGCATTTGGAATTTGCTTAACCAAACCATGTCATACGTCATATAAAATGTATTCAGTATATATTATGCTTGATAATACAGTGAAATACAGAATCGTTTAGCAGGTATTATTTTTGTGAAGTGACATTTAGACACCTGTGAATTAATATATCAATTAACGCTATTTTTTGAAAATTTTACTCTAAAATTTTAGTGTGAGGACCCTTTATCAGTTACTTATATTTATATATCTATCCGAAATTAATGTTCATTAAAAAAGTCAAGATAGTGAATAGGTCTTTTGTCTAATAAGTGATCTGGTAAGTCAATAATAATTTTAGCTTACAAGCAAACATAATGATACTGCATAAAATACATAATATCGGATTAACTAGGACTGTGTATGAGCTTAGATCTTGGGAACTTATTAGCAGAGAATGACGTAAGTACTGCTGGGCTAACTGCAATTCTTCAGATTGTACATAGAAATACATGCAAAAAAATGTACACTCATTTTAGAGCTTGGTAAAGTAGTTCCAGAAACTCAGAGATAAAAGAATAACGAAACCCAATTTTTTGTTATTATTTAACTGAAAAATGACTATTTATGGTATGTTACTTCAACTGAACAGTGATACAAAAAAATTTGCATTTGCTGCAGTTTAAAAATCTAAGCCTATACGTGTAGGCGGAGTACTTGAACTGAACATGTGGTTCATAGTATCAAATCACTGAACTGAGCCATTCCAGAAATTTAAGCGTTTCATAATCCTTCTTTTCTGTGCTAAAAGTATCTCGTTAATCTCAATGCTTGTTATAGGTACACGTTTTTATGTTAAAAGGTAATTATTATTTTATATTTTAAGTACATATATTAATACTTTTTTGAATTTTCTTTTTTAAATTTCCTTAGAGTAAGATGTCAATTAGCTTTAAATAGAAGCCAACCTTATATTATTAAAATACCTATATGAAAGTTTAAATATGAACTTATATGTAGGTTCAGACAAAAATCCATTTTATAATGTCTGTAGAATAATGTCACGTAGTATATCAAATATGGAACTACTTCAACGAACAAATCAAGAATTTATCAACAAAGAAGTCAAGCGTCGGAAATATAATTGGCTTTGCCACACTTTGCGAAAACAGTACGAAGAAATATGTCACGCAACACTTCAATGGAAACTCAAGGCAACACACACAGAGGAAGATCTGGAGAAGAACGATAATAAATGAAACCGGCAAAACTTCAAATCAATTACGTTATATTGCTGGGGATAGAAATAGTTGGACATTCTATGTTCCTGATGGAATATATTTAATAATAATATATGAAGGTTATTAGACCTCAAAATATTATTGATTATGTGTACCAGATTTAAGTCCATAAGTATATCACAAATTAAAAACACTATAAGTTTAATTGATTTTAATAACAATATATTTATTTACAATAATTTACAGAATGTTTTAATTAATTTAAATTTTTTTAAACATTTTTCTATAGTCTTTTTTCTTGATGCATATCATCCACTTAACATTTAACTTGATCTAACTCCATGGTAAGACCAACCAAAATTTCAAGAAATTGGTCCATACTGAGATCAGCTAATTGACGATTTACAGCCGGAAGTAAATAGTTATTAATTATATTACCCATATTAGCTTGTGCTTCTTCGGTCCATAAGAGCACATATTTGCGCAACCAACGATTGACAAAGTTATTCACTTCATTATTCCAATAGTTATTCCAGTTATTAGCTTGAACATCCCCAAGTATAACCTGGTTTCTGAAATTAGTCATTTCTATACCATTTTGGTTGATATCATTAGTTTGGAAGGTGTAACCACCAATTGAACGGACATCAGTAAATTTCCAGTTCAGAACACCCTCACCGGCATAGGTAAATGGCATATTAGCAATGGTGGCTGTAGCATTTACAGTGTATTCAGAAAGAATTTGCAATTTGCGATGTAAAACATCATAATTAAATTCTTGAGTGGTGGTATTGTATGAGAAGTCAAGCAATTGCCAATCATTCAGACCTTCAACGTACAAGTTGGAGAAAGAACCAACAAGGCTAAATAGAATAATAAATAATTTGTTATATATACTCACAAGTGTAGAGAAGTTTAGTCTTACCTGTAACCTTCACCACTGTAATCATAATCCCAATTATCGACAGTGTATGGAGCAAGTGGTGGTAGATTCCAAGCGGCATAACCACATGGCATAATACGCTGGAAAGCCTTCAAATAGGCTTTTAAAATGTCGGCGTAATTGATATAGTCAAATGGATTTAGATCTGGTGTTGAGTCAAGCGCTAGAAATTTAATATTTAGTATTTATTTTTACTAATTAGTAAAATAATTTGTTTTTACCGGCGCCATTGACGTTGGCGGAAATAGCCAGAACGCCTAAAAGAGCTAATAAAATTGTTGCTTTCATTTTTCCGCTAAAAGAACGATTAGTGCGCTTTCGTTCGAGTTGGAAACTAAAGTAATTAATGGTAGGCATTCTTTTTATATACTTTTTAAAATTTATTTAATTTGTTTATAAGTGATCGATTAAAAAAGTATAACTTATTTTTATAAAAAATAGTAATTATTATCTTATCTAATTTACAATATATAATATTTTTGGATAAATTTTCTTGGCCATTATTTTTGCTTGAAGTGAGTCACATTGTCGATTATTTTCTTCTTGATTAAAGTTTGTTGATTTTTTTTTATATTATTAATAACATAAATAATTATACAATATTAATGGCGCCAATTTTTTGTTATTGTTTACCAATTTGTCATATAAACAATTTTTGTTTAAGTAAAAGAGTTTATAAATTTAAATATTTTGCAGAGAAATTATTTTTTAATAAGAACGTAAAGTATTTTTTAATTCAAAAACTTATAGTTATTAATAGTTTGAATTAATTAGTATCAAATTTTTATCGATTTGAGGTTTTTTTTCTGTAATTGAAATTTAAATTTATGATTCATTAATGGTAATTTTTATATTTGTGTTTTGTTGTATCGGATTATTATCAATTATGTACTTTTTTTACATAACAAACTTTAAAAATAAATCAATGTAAAATTCACGCTTTATATATATAGCACATGAATATTTTAACAATCCCTTGGTACATTTAAAATCAAATAAATCTACTAATATTTCAACATCGTCTTGAATGTAGTCTTGGCAGAGGCATTGGACCAAGATGACGGAATAACTTGAGTTATTCAAGATAGCTCGAGTGATCTCGCTTACGCCGATGACTGCTGGCACACGGATATAATGACATATCTCTCAACCTAAATCGTTTGATAATTACGGCAAATAAAGCGGGACTTAAAATCAATGTTACCAAAACGAAAGCTATGGGCATTAATGTTAACGTCCATGATCCTTTTATTATAAACAATTGCTGTCTTGAGGATGTAGAGTCTTTGTGCCATCTTGAAAGCAATATATCAACAAATGGTGGATCCAGTGCTGACATTGAGAATCGTATCAAGAAGGCAAAATAAGCGTTTGATCGCTAAAATAAAGTCTAGAGATCATCTCAGCTATCGCGCCGAACTATAAGACGAACTCCAACATTAAATCTTGCCTGCTATATGAATGTCAATCCTGGAATACTACAATGGACTACAAGTTTTTGTAAATCAGTCATTATGCAAAATTGTTAAAGTATTCTGACCAAATACAATTTCAAATAAATGACTATGATCTTTAACTGAACAAACACCTATAAGAACCGAAATCAAAAAACGCAAATGAAAATGGGTCGGTCACACTTTGTGTAGACCGACTGGTGTCACCACAAGAATGGCGATTAAGTGGAACGCGTTGGGTAGCAGAAGAAGGGGCAGACTTGCTCACACCTGGAGAAGGCAAATTGACATGAAAATGTTACACATGCGGAAAAGCTGGAGAGAGTTGAAGCTATTGGCCACCAATCGTACCGAGTGGAAGATATTTGTTGCGGCTCTATGCTCCTCATAAGAGTTAAAGGATTAAAATCTACTAATATTTATAGGATACTCCTTATTGACATTAAATTTGTTCCCAATTTTAAAAATAAAGTTTCTTGATTTCCACTCTTAATAGTAGATCTTATACCAACCAAACAATACTATATATATTGCTGTCGTATCATCTCATTTTTTGAACACTGTTTTTTACTCTAATGGTAGATAGTGGCAGGTGGTGCTATGTGAGGCAATCCTTATTTAGGATTTTAGAAACCTTTTTAAAGGCATATAAAAGTTTTATAGCAGATTTAATCATATTTAAGAGGTAAAGATAAGATTGATTTTCTAATCTAAGCCCAAAGGACCTTTAGACAGTTGATATCGCAGGCAATAGATAATCTATGATTATGCCTATTATATTATAGTATACCTCAATTAATCCTTAATACTATATACAAGACTTAATGATGTTGATAATTGGAACTAATTTATTCATAAATATAATTCAAGAAAATCCATAGAATGTAATTTAATTCTTATTATTTAACTGACCAAGTTTTGAGACTTCGTTTTATACAGATTTTTGTTTAAAATGCAAAGAACTAAATACTTAGTTAAAGTTTTGATAAAGGTGCGAAGAATACTTGAGGTTACTGCTTCAGTATTAAATAGAAATACTTAAATTGTTTATGAAATAAAGTTTGAAGTCATCAAAAGAAGTTTGTAATTTAATCTATATAATAAAATCAAGAGACGAGAGAAAGCCGTACTTTCTAAAAACAAGCTGTCATTCGAACACTACGTTTATATCAAGTTGACTATGATTTAGTAAGAAATTATCTAAAGAAAATAAATCAGCTTCTTTATCTGCATTTCCAAATATACATGGATCCAGAGAAATAAGTAAGCTGAAGAAATCGTAGGGACACAGGAAGCGGATGTATAGGCAGAGAAGTGTAAGAACGAGTGGTAAGGTATCTAGAAAAATAAAAAGACAATTACATTTGAATTCAGGGTTAGCGTATTCATGAACAGATTAAGAATTTTGAGTGGGTACGGACTATTGTAAGGTTAAGGAATATATGAGCAGCATAACAATAAATTCGTGTGTAGATGCTATCTTGAAGAAAACCGATTAACGACAATATAGTCGTTAGAAAGACTGGCTTGTATAAAAATCTGGAAACATCTGATACTGCAAGATCGTTATAAATAAGTTGAGGCATTTTGCACAGTGACCCTGAGGTCTATTGAACTGTGTAACATTCATAATTTCTCAGCAATCTCTCATATTCTTGGACATTATTTATTTAATAAACATAAAATTTATCTTTTCTTTATATTGATAATATTGAAGAAAATGACAGAAGGCCCAAATCCAGTGCCTTTTTTGGTATTTATTTGATTGCGATATAGTAGCGTCACTTGGAGTCTTTATAAGCATTTTACCAATTCATCAGATAAACAATGGCTTAGCACTGCGGATGTTTATTATTTGCAGTACAACCAATACATAAACAGAAAACTTTACTTATAAGCTGAATACTGGACGCAGTATTCAATCGTATTCAATTTTCGTAATGCAATCGAAAATGTCTCTTCTTTTCGATTGCATCACGATTTTATAGCTGCATCCTAAATAATATGTGGAAATTGTAAAAATCTTTTCTAGAAAAAAAATGAGCTATCGTACTCAGTATGGACTTCTAGCCTCAAATGTTGAATTTTATAAATAAGTAAAATAAAATATTTAAATTTTAATACTTCATTTATTGATTTAAAAATAAATATTTAATTAAATTTGTTAATTTACTATTAGATTAAATTTTACTTAAACGAATTTAATTTTGTGGGCATTGAACTTCATCCAATTCCATGGTGAGACCAACCATAGCTTCCAATAATTCAGTCATTGAAAGATCGGCAATTTGACGATTAAGAGCAGTCAAGACATAGTTCTTGTACAAATCGACGAAGTATGATTGTGATTGTTGAACATATAAGAGCACGTATTCACGTTGGAACTTGTTGACGAAGTTGTTTATTTGATTGTCCCAGAAATTATTCCAGTTGCTAGTTTGGACATCACCAAGTAAGACTTGCATATCGAAATCAACAATCTCTAAGCCATTTTGGTTGTTGTTGTTATTATTTTGGAAGGTGTAGCTGCCAATGGTACGTAAATCAGTATATTTCCAGTTGAGTACACCTTCACCGGCATAGGTGAGTGGGAAACCAGCAATATAAGCGGTAGCATTAATACTGTATTCAGATAATAATTGAATATAGTTATGTACCACATCAAAATTAAATACTTGAGTTGTTGCATTGTAGCTAAAATCTAATATTGTCCACTTGTTTAAACCATCAACGTAAAGGTTGTCGAAGGAGCCAACAAGGCTGAAAATAAAAATTTTTTAGCGGTTAATATGCAAAATCGCTTAAAATATAATATTTTATTTCTCTTACCTGTAGTCATCACCAGTTAAATTGTAAGCATAATGATCCATTGTGTATGGAGCTAGTGCTGGTAAATCCCAAGCAGCATAACCGCATGGCATAATACGTTGGAAAGCTGTCACATATTTCTTGGCAATATCTCCAAAGTTCAAATAGTCGTAAGGATTGAGGCTTTGTGCAGAGTTCAAAGCTAAGAAAAAATATTTTTTATTAAATAATAATTACCAATATTTTATGTATAATTTGTACGTACTAGCACCATTAGCTGAAATAGCTAAAAGGCCAACTAGTGCCAAAATAATTGTTGCTTTCATGGTTGCTAATTCTTTTTGCTTCAACTAACTTTCACTTAAGTATTGAAACTGAAGTAAAGTGTAGAATTTTTCTCCATTTTTATACTATTTTCTGCACTTTCAATAGTTGAATATTTTTATCAAGTTTTGTTAACTAAAATCACGGTTCTTTCCCTTGCCCCAACATTAAAATATCTAATCGATATAATGGATTGATTTGGGCTTCTTGTGATAATTTTTTTAAATTTTCAGGATTACTTACATGTGTAGTTCTCATGTACATAAACGCTGCGAAAACAGTAAAAGATATCAATACACAATTATCAGGGCTTAAGACTTCTAAATGAATAGATATCAATTACCGGGTGCCGATAAAATGATATTTCAAAACAGCTGTTATTGCTTTGTCAAAAATAAATAAGTAAACAGTTTTGTTATATTAAATTCATTTATTAAAAATTAATCTAATTAATCATTTATGTTGTGTTTATAATGTGACAGGTCGATTATGGTATATGTGTGTAGTGTTCTTATATGTTCTTAATTATTTAATAATTATGTGTAAGTTCAAGTTCAATAAAAATATAAATAATTGATATGGTTGTTTTGTTTTGAAATTTAAAATATTTTAAATTTTATAGGAAATAATTAAATTAAATCTATTTTCATTTAAGTAAGGATTTATTCGAAATACCGGCAGTCTAAAAAAAGAAAGTTGTGCCAATAGCACGAAAAATGGCTTTCGTTAATTGTTTCGCTTTAATAGAATTAGCGAAATAAAACACATTTAGAAGATAACGACAGACCTGTGAATATGTAATATGGAAGTGATAATTTTACCTTGTATTTTTTTTTCAGAATAGAGTTCCCTATTAATTTTAATACTTAACTGAAAGTAAGTCTAATGAACTATTTTTATAAAGGTCTTTAATCAAATTAGCATTTGTTTGAATAAGTTCAAATAAATACGGGAAGTTAAGACTCTACAATATTTTTCGATAATCAGATTATTTTAAGATAATTTTTACGATATTTGTAGTATGAATTATTCCATTTCTCAGTCTGTGGTGAGATTATTAATATATTCTTCCATGAACTGCACGTCGCTTTTCGCCACGCCATTAACCATTTGTAACTTCTGAATGTTTTCTAGATCAAGAATGTTCGATCTCATTAAAATCTATGCGTTTAGTTACTGATTAAAAATCCAAAACATTTCTTTATTATCTAATACCTTAAATATACCATATAACGCTGCTTACTTTAACTTACTTTAAAAATAAAAAAAATAATAAGAGCCTCCTATATAATACTTTCACCTCATAGTGTCTTATATGGTATATATTATTATCCGATGTAATAGTTTGTTAATATTCTAGTCCCTGTTAGGTAAGTACCTTCTGTGAGGTGAGTCGCAATCTGTAATCTGCTTAATTGGGTGAAGATCTGACTTAACAATGAGTAAAATGCATTGAATGAATTACATTAAAAATGGATGTCATTATTGAATGTCGTTTGATAATTGTTGCTTCAATATTATAGATGGAGTTTTTTATAAACTATACTGGTAGTTTGAGCAAAAATATGGTCTTAACTTTTTTGGCACAAATCTTAATTACTAAAAAAGTTGCTTGTTAATACTATAGATGTACTCTGGCATATGCAGAGTCTTATAAAATATTTATTACTGCAAAATTACGGTACTTCCATTGCATTAATAATTAATTTAAATTCTGTATAAGCGAAAACTTATCATATATTTTCAATTATAACGACTTAAGCATTATAAGGACTAAGATTATACAGCTTTCATATTCAATTTTTTATTAAATTTTATTACAATTGTTATTAGACAAATTAATATAAAAATTAAAAAATTTATTAGGTTCAAGTACAGCTAACAGCATTTAATTCCATAGTACCATTAACTAAGAATGCTAATAATTCCTCCATAGTGAAACCGGCTAACAAACGATTCATAGTGGGTGTAACAACATCACCATAGTATTTATTTACAAGCGGCTGCAACTCTTGAGAGAGCATTTTTAGAGTTTCACTAGACCAATAGTTATTGAAGTTATTCACAGGTATATCCCATAAATCATTCCAGCTTTCATTAATTATATCACCAAACAAAAAATTATATTTTGTGTTTGCTATACCAACACCATTTTGTATTATTTGACTGGACACCAAATCGAAGCTGCCAATTACACGTAAATTCAAAAAGTTCCAGTTAAGTACTCCACTTCCTTTCAAGTTTAATGGTATTGCACCAAGTTCAATCAAAGCGTCTATAAAATATTCTCCAAGGAGCTGCATGTTTGTAAAAATAGCATCATAGCTGAAGTGATTTGTTGTTGTATTATATTCAAATTCAATTAAAGTGAAATCATTTAAACCAGTAAAGATGAGATTAGAGAGATTACCATTGAGTCTAACAAAAAAAAATGTTTATAATAATAAAATGAATACATATAATTTTAATAGATTTTACTCATAATTTTGACCAGTCATATTATAAGTATAGTAATCCAAGGTTATAGGTGCTAATACAGGAAGATTCCATGCAGGATAACCACAAGGCATTATACGCTTTATTGCCAATATGTAGGATTTGAAGACACTACCAAAATTAAGTGAGTTTGATTGGCTTGCATATTCAACTATAATGAATATTATATATTGGATATAATAAATATTGTTATTTATGTTAACAATTTACCACTTCCGTTTGCTGAAACGGCTAAAAAACACAAAAGTGTCGTTATAAATAAACTTCTCATTGTTATGAAATTATATCGCCGACTAAATTTAGTATTATTAGTTTTACTTTTATATAGGTTTTGTATATTATGTCTACTAAAATCGATTTGTCTTATTTTGAGATAGCGTCTAAATTTTTATTAATGTTTAGGCAATTTATTTACTTTTTAAATAAATATGTCGAAGTCATAGTATCTGCCTTTATATACTTTTTTCGAAGTTAGATAGAGAAATAGAGGAATTTATATACTAACTGTTTGAGACTTATTGGATATAAAAATGAGAAACAATTTTTTGATTGAGAAGAATAATGCAGCATAACTCCGATAGCATTTTAGTATTAACTGAATACAAGATGTCAAGATATCTTCAATTTCTCAAGAACGGTGCAATCAAATAGCTTAAGCCGAGTATTTATTTTTAGTGCATTGAATAATTTTAAATTGGGTGTACAATTTATCATTATGCTTTAATCGGTAATTGGTGCAGAATTATTGAAAACATTTTACAGAAATCTTTGTTTATTTTGAAATTGCAATTTGCGATTTACAGCAAGAAAAAATCATTCAAATCTTTGATACGATTAACACATATATTCTACACCACAGATTTCATGCAATTCTGCCTGGAACACTGTAGAAGAAGTGGAATGACTATGTTAAATCTAGGTCTATCGTAGCTAACACCATTTTGTCAATTTTTTAGTCTTGATCCATCAATGAAACAAACACACGCGTTAGGAGGTTGTATATAGTTACTAATCGTCTCTTCAATTCTTCTAGGAAAGATCGATTTGAAGTTACAGGAAGTTGTCTTCATGTAGAATATCTGAAAAATTAAAGGCAGGGTTATTATTGACAACTCAAAGGTTTCGAAGGTATTTTTTAATTTTGTCATCCATGTGTAGGAGAGGGTGTTTGAAACATGAACATCTTCTTTTGAGTCATAACAGACATGACTATTTTAAAGGCAGGGTTATTATTGACAACTCTAAGGTTTCGAAGGTATTTTTTAAGTTTGTCATCCATGTGTAAGAGAGGATGTTTGAAACATGAACATCTCCTTCTGAGTCATAACAGACTTATGACTATTTTTGTTGTAGATTTGCATGAGCTTTTTGGATTGAAAGCGTCTGAAGACTGCACAAACAGTTTATAATTGATGTTTCAAAGAACTAATTTAGTCTGTCAAGTAGGTTTGGGAATAATAAAGTAATAATTAAATAAAAGCATCTGTGAATACATATTCAAAATAAATACTAAAATTGATTTAATTTTGCTGCTAAAATGAAGTTTATTTGTATTTATTTATACAGAACATAGTTAAAGTATTGCTAAATACAAACTCGCTTTAATTACTCTTAGTTTCACTTAGTCCAAATGTTTGTGACAATGAACTTTATTGAAAGTTTCACTCGTTTTCACATAGAAATCAATGACCTCTTCCATAGTAGTATCAGCCAAAACTGAGTTCAATACTGGGATTACATTTTGGTTATAGAAATCGTTGACAAAAGGTTGTACTTGTTCAGCCCACATAAGTAGGAATTCACGTTGCCAATCATTAGCAAAGTTGTTGATAGCAATATTCCATAAATTGTTCCAGTTCTTAACTGCAATATCGCCAACAAAGAATTTAAGATCGAAATTAGTTATTTGCAAGCCCTTCTCCTTGTCTGGAATAGGTCCAAAGTTCAGACTGCCAACTGCACGTAAATCAACAATTTTGAAATTAACGATGCCCTCTCCATCAATATTTATTGGGTAATCGGCAATATTTATCATTAAATGTGAAGCAAATTCACTAAGCAATTGCAAGGCTGGCATATTGATATCATATGTCAATAGTGTTGACTCATCGTCATAGCTGTAATCGAGTAATTCCCAGATGTTAAGACCGCTCAAAACCAAGTTAGAGAAGCTTCCGTTGGCTCTATATGTGTATAAAAATAAATAAAAAGTAAATATATGTATAGTTATATTAATGACATTGTTAGTTTAAGTGCTTACTGGAAATTATTCTTTTCGAAGTTATAACTGTAGAGTTTGTTCTTATAGGGGGCCAATGGTGGAATTTCTAATTCAGCATAACCGCAAGGCATCATTTTCTGTAATGAGTGAAGATACATTTTTGAGGCTTTTTCGAAGTCGATATTGTTGGGTCTGCTGGTAACTGGTGCTGGACCATCATCTTGGCCGGATTCATCGGATGCTGATGATGGCACTGGATCACTTTCAACAGATCCAACAGCTTCAAATTTCAAAGTAAGTCAAATTATATTAATATATAACTAAAATTAATTTAAAATTATTGGTTATTACCTGGTACTGGATCAGTTTCAGGAGATTCAACAGCTTTGAATTTAAAAATAAGTTAAATTATATTAGTATGTACTAAAATTATTTTTTTTATGATTTATTATTACCTGCACCGTAGACGTATGATGCGCACAAAAGTGTAGTTAAGAGAATTACTGCCTTCATTTTGTCGTTGCTAACTTTTCACTGGAGTATGAAAATTTAACTGATTTTTAGAACTAATATTTCCAATATTTATATGAATTTTATTTAATATTTATTTTATCATATTTCATTGAGGCAGTAGGTAGACCGCACGTTTCACTAGCTTATCATTTTGAAGAGACTTCTTCTGAGGTTCAAGTTTATTGACTTTAATAGTTGTGAATTACTCAGTTGAGATACTTTTAATTAGTTTTTGCATGATATTGCATTTTTATTATTTAAGTGCATTTTTTTTAATATAAATATTCTCAAAATAACTCAAATGCAAGTAAAAGTAATAATTAAAAGATATACTTCTCCTTCATATATTTTTTATTTCCGCTAAAGATTTTAACAATACATCATAAAATAATAAAATATTTAACTGTCATTCGATTAGAATACATCATATTGTTATTATTAGAAGGAAAAAAAATGCTACACTGCCGCCTATAAATCTATTGTGGTATGCCTAGAAAGATACTCTTAAGCTTATCCAGATTTTCTAAAGCAATTAATAAACTTAACAATAGGGATATTGTAACAAATCTCATGTAACAAACTCTGTAAACAATGAACATATGAACAGGAACTTGATTAACGTGCTCAATACTTGTTATCATGAATATCCCTAATATCACTTAATACAAGGTCACAGACCTCTTTCGCTTTCATAAACGCCAAATGGAAGTAGGGTACTAACATGCTGTGATGGTAAAGGCAGAGTCATTCACTCTATATTATGCGGAATCTAATTATCGGTGTTCTTCAGTCCACATACGAAAAGCTTGAAGCATATATGAACCGTATATCCACTCTGGATTTATCTTTCCTCAAATGACTGCTTGATAACTCCAGTGTAGGGCGTTGTCTATGACTACTATATAAGCAGACAGTTCAAATGAAGAACAGGAACCATTTCCTTAACTTCTATATCACTGTCTAGTTTTCGTTAGTAGTCCTAAATCCATTCTGGATTCTCCCTTCTCTGAATGGCTGTCCTATATCATTGGCATAGCTATTAAAAATCAATTCCTGTTTTGTTTAAGTAATATCTCGATTTAAAATAATGGTGTTTGTCGTTCCGTTGCTTAGAGCAATTAGCTTACCTTTACAAGAAGAATGGGTCTGTTTTAAGGGTCAAAATGCGACGGTCCTCATTTTGCGGGAAGGGCTGTTATTTTCATCTGTCCTTCTATCTATCTTAAATGTATTTGTATTGAATTTATTACAATTTATAATTTGTGTAAATAAGCTTAACACTTTATTATCTTATTATATTATTATATCTAAATTTAGAACAAAAGAATTTATAATTGTAAGTAATTAAACTAATGTATTGAAAAATATTCGAACCAAATATCAAACGTACCAAACGCATGCTTTTTGGATTAAGTTTAAGCAGAAGCATCTCAGGGCATATTCTACAAATGTATCTGTGATCAATGTTATGCAAATTTTGAATTTCTGCATTGTTGCTAATAACTTTTATGTAGGAATTTTAAGTTCCGTAAGGACAAAATACACAAAAAAAATTCAGAAAAAATTAAAAAAAAAAATAAAATAATACCTTACACTTAACTGTAAATGCAGTAAAAGCTTAAAGTACTGCAGGCACTTTTCTATTGTATTTACTGCTCATGCAATATGGTATAGAGTAAGCCTGGTATTACTTGATTTTTTTGAGGAAACTGGTATGAGGCAGTAACAATCGGGTTTTCGTATTCGACAGCAGTACGAAAGAAATTCATAAAGTAGAAACGAAACATAAATATGGATGGACTACGATAGAGTAGACTTTTTGCAGTGGACATAAATAGTACCGTTCGAATCTATGCAATGCTGAACGCATCAGTACTTCACATTTTCAACGAAAATCGACATAACGAAGGAGTCGATTCTACTTGGAGTAGAAAACAATTGTTACAAAAAAGGAGAAGGGAACTAAGTGAGTATGAGTACTAGAACGATTATATGCGCACTAGTAGCTTCTATTGTTCAAAGCAGTTACAGCGTACAGGTATGTGGAGGTTTGTTAATTCCCTCTAGGAATTTTTCACGTTTGACAAAATACAATTGGGAATTTTAAATATCGTAAGCAATAAAAAAAAGAAACAAAAACAAATAAAATTGAACGAAAAATGTTTGAAAGGATGTAACATGTCATGAACTTTGATTCTGTTATGGATTTCGATAGAGCTTAAGCTTCTAATTGTAAATTAACGAACTCCTTTGTTGTCATCAATTTAGCAATGCAACAATGTATGGTTATTCCTGCAGGCGAACAGATGTTTCAGGTTAAAGCAACTGCGTTTTTATATAACTCCAAATGGGAATACTCGATTTGAGTTCCGTCCATGTTTTTTTTTTTTGTGTGCAGCAAATGTAGTGAATTTTAGAATAGCGCTGATGTGAGCTTCTCAAAGGATTTGAACATGACAGGTATGAGTGCTTTGAAGCACTTTGAAGAATATGCAATAGTTCAAAGTAAGATTACGTAGGCATTATGGGCATATCTTCGGAAGAAGTTTTGTTTTATTG